TAGCAAAAAATATTTTATAATTCTTTTCCAATAACAACAATCATCAACCCCTGGTCTTTTGAACAGGAGTAGAGGGTCATCCTTTGTTTACTGTTTAGGATTGGGTTTCCAGTTCCTTCTGAAGTTTGCTTCATCTCTGTTCTTCTAATGTCTCTTTGAAAATTTTGGAATTTTATTTATTATTTGGTTACTGTTTTTTTTTTTTTTTTTTTTTCTTTTCTTCTCTCTTTCAATAGGAGTAGATAGGTTTGCCTATCACCTGGTTCACACTTCTCTCTGGTCTTCTGGGCAGAAGTAGAAGAGTTGTGTTGTGTGATATTTTTTTTTTTTTTTTTTTTTTTTTTTAAGTTTAGGATTGGGCTTCCAGTTCCTTCTGAAATTTTATTTATTTTTTTCCTCAATCAGAATAGACACTCCACTTATGTTCTTTTGAACAGGAGTAGAGGTTCATCCCTTGTCTCCTGTTTAGTGTGTTATGCCCGGGGTTTCGTTGGGACTATGATAGCCGAGACGCAAGGAGAAAATAAAAAAAAAAAAATAAGAGATCCAAAGGTTCAATATAAAAATAAAGAAAAGAACGTTGGGAGGGGAATTCTCCAATTCCAGACGTTGGTAAACGCAGAGAGAAAATGAACTATACGCAGACACAGAACAACAGAAGACGACACAAGAATATATAATACAAAGATTTTATTTATATAATACACAAAGTGTGAATGTAAGAAAACAAAAAAGAAAACTAAATAATACAAGGGATGGGGAGATAAGTTACCAATTAAACAGATACTAATGCGGCGAAATACATATGAATACAGATAGCAGATTATAAGATATAGAAAAACATGCAGAAACTTACATAAGGTTGGAATCGACGTCGATTGACTATTATCGGGGTACAGTTTGATCAAAAAGGATATTCATACACTTCTCTGAAAGTGAAGGATGGGATTGACAATGTTCTAATACGAGTTTTTGACTGGCGACGTCCAATCCGTGTTGATGGCGAGGAGGACACAGAAAAATCATGGGAGTGTAGCCGACTTGGGTTGAGGATATTGTTCTGGATTCTCTCGTCGGTCCTTTGGTTTTTGGTGGCATCTAATTCTTTTGGTATCAAACCACGAAGTCTGGTTTTGGTGACAACTGCTTCTTCTAATGGCAAACAGCTAAGACTAGTTTTAGTGACATCCGATTCCTCCGATAGCCAGCAACTATATGAGATCGTTGTTACCTCAACACGTGTGAAATGAAAACTGCTATATGTTGAGTCGACACATGTTGGCCCCCCCAAAAAGTATGCGTCATTCACGGACCCTGTTAATGCCATTCGCCCTTATCTGTCAAACAGCGTTTGTTTGGCCTATGCATCAGAGACCAGGTAGGAAATGGGAGGAGGAGGGAAGGTTCTTTTCCGAGAACTGGCCCTGACTCATCTGGGTATAAAAAAAAATATGTCCCACAATCTGCATATTAAAGAAAGAAAGAAGTTATTGAGATTCATGTTTTGTCGCAAATACACAAGGTACTGAAAATATACTTATAAAATCTGAGGTGAGGGTACAAATATGGGGTTAATGTAACAAGTGGGTTTCCAGTTCCTTCTAAATCCTTTTCATTCCCTTTCACTCCCAGAAGCCCCTTGCATCATAGTGGCATTATCACTTCCCTTAGGGTGAATTAATTTAAAAAAAAAAAAAACAAACAAGAAAGATATTTGCCATTACAATGTTTACAGTAAAAATAATTTTTTTTCCATGTGAACTGTTGCCCCCATCTTTGTTATCATGTTTCGACCATTGTACCCTCCAGACTTCATCAGCCCTATCTGGGTAACCTTCAAGGAATTTTGAACTGAATCCATATTTAATCTACAGAGGTAGATTGTTCTCATTCTGCTGTGCTGCCCATGTCCAGAGATGTCTCGTCTACTTCTTGTTTAGTGCTGCTCAGTCATTAGTGGTTCGCAGGAAGAAGCTGTCTGAGTAAAACTTACTTCTCACCAATGGAATACAGAGAGAATGAGGTTTGGTTTGGTACAATATGCATAGCATTTTTTGATTTCTATATTTCTGAGATGAAGTATTGTAACTATTTACTGTTACATCATTCATACTGTTGTTCTCATCTTTATTGTCATATTCATGACATTTCAGCTGTTGTACACTTCAGACTTCTTCAGATAATATGTTGCAATTTTGTTTTGAATCCTTTATTTAATACAATGGAGTAGATTGTTCTCATTTTACATGCCATACCTTTTCTGGGTATCTCATATCAGTTATTTGCCTTTAGTAACTCAGCTTTCTTTGTTTTTTGTTCACTTCTGCTGTGGCCAACATATATCTCCTGAAGAAGGCCGGAGTGTACAATGACCGAAACATCATGAATATGACAATAAAGATGAGGAGAGCAGTCTGAACAATGTAAATAGTGTAATTATTATTAATTAGTTTTCAGTAGTTGTGTACAATGTTATACTTATTCGGATCAGAAACCGCTCGTACTTGACACCATCAGTCACCATGGTGGATAGTAGGTTTTGAGCTAACTGGTTTGTTGTATACAAAGTATAGTAATACGGTTAATTTGTTTGGTGTACATATGAAATGTAACTGTCAGCCTGTATGATATGGCTGGGGTTAGGGTCTTAAATGCATTACACTCCCCTCCTCCTCAAACTGGGTTCACATCCATTGTTCGGTCTCTGCAAAAATTCAGATGTTCTTCATCTGTGCATGGTCACATAGAATATCAACTGTCATATTCTGCAACCACTGCTGAAACACATTATCTAACTTTTCTCATGTCCACTATTTGGTCTCCATAAATTTTCAGCAAGTGTTGATGAATGTTACTCGAGTGCATTTTTTTTTTTTTATCTGCATGAAAAAATTCATTAACACTCCCCCTTCCACTTCATGCACATTTTCATGTCAGAAGTTATTTTGCCTGACTGCTATCTGTTAGAAGGCAAAAGAAAATTATGACTATTGACTAGAAAGCTCAACTTCATCTGCTAATATAATAAGAGTCCTCATTTTCGAAGCAAGACCTTGTAATTGTATAATATAATTTCTGTAAGGCAAGCAATTTTTACTATATCAAAACAAAAAAAATCATTATTATGCAAATCTTAAGCAAAGATCATCTTCATATAATAGTTGTGTGCATTCATCCCATCATTTGTTCACATGATCATAACACCCCCCTACTAATACCTCATAAATAATGGTCTATTCTGTTTTGATCACATGGAAAGTAGGAAAAAGACACTACTTGGTTTCACTGAGAAAATGAAAGAAAGAAGAGAACATAGAAGTGGGGAGAGAGAATCTGATTAAGCTGGTAAGAACAGATACTACAGTTTGATCTTAGCTAAAAGGCCAATATTTTTCAGTGTTGAATAACAGAAACCAATTAAGGTAATCGCCAAAAATCTAGTTACCATAAATAAAATAATATTGTCTGCTGAATTATTTTAAAATTATTATTACGGGAAATGTTTGTAACCTGGGATTTTGCCAGTAATTTTTAATGTAGCCTTTTGTTTTTTTTTTTTTTTTTTTTTTTTTTTTTTTTTTCCATACCTGAAATTTGTAAAATAATTGACCGATTTTTTTTTTTTTTTTTCTATTCCTGGTATTCATCACTAAATTTCCTTTCTATATTAATTTTCAGGTCAGTGCAGCAACAAAGAATGTCCATTTTTACACATTGACCCAGAGAAAAAAATTAAAGACTGTCCATGGTATGATCGTGGTTTTTGTCGGCATGGTAAGTGTATTATCAGCATTCAAATATGTTTATATTGCGGTATTGGAAAATTTTTAACCTGCCCACTTGTGTGGTTTTGAAAGAAGAATATCTCTTGTTGCTTCAAAGCTGGTGATTATTGAATATTAATGTCTTCATTGTATATTGTGGACCTCCTTGAAATAATAATTATAATCTTATAATTGTTTGATCATCGTTGTTTAATTAACAAGTGGATTATGCTCTGTAATGGCTTGCCTGTCCCCTGCCCACAAATTATTGATATAGCAGTGGACAGAATAAAACCTAAACCCTCTTTGTTCACTTTCAACTAGCCTCACTCTAGTGTTTTTCATATATCTCTCTCTCTATATATATATATATATATATATATATATATATATATATATATATATAAAAAAAGGCTTAAACACTAATATTCCATGGTCATAATTTATTCCATTGGAAGCCTTTTTATTATATCCTTACTCTGTCCTAGACATTGAGTTCTACCTGGATCCTTCCTCTGGAAAAAATTTTTTTCTGAAAATATACATGTATGGGAATTTTTTAGATATATTTTTCATATGTATGTATATTTTCCACTAATATATATATATATATATATATATATATATATATATATAATATGTCAATATACCACATAACACCGTTGAACGCTTAAGCCTTGGAGCGGGTAGAATGGAGATCAATGTGTTTTAGTGGATTCAGCAATTTTCAATCTGCTTGTCTGAATCATCTCCAAGAAGCAAGAGCAAGATCTAAAAGGTCAGCCAATCTAACAGTGATCTCATCTCACAGTCCTCACACTTGCTCCATATGTGACCTTTGTAAATCACTAACGGGTCTTAAATGCCACTTAAGATTATCACACAAACTTTCATAACTGAATCAATAAGCTGTCAGATTCTCATACATTGAAACCGATGGGAGAGTCCATTATTTTATATATACACACACACACTAGTGTATCCGTGCTGTCAAAATTGATGGCAAGAAGGAATGAATTATAAGTAATTTTCATTTAATACAAGTAAAATTTTGTAATTTAAAATAACAGTTGTATTATATACATTATTTAGACTGTTATCCTCATCTTTGTTGCCATATTCGCAACATTTCAGCCGTTGTACACTCTAGCCTTCTTCAGGTGTTTGGATTTTCAAACCGAACCCTTTATTTCATCCCCTAGGGTCAATTGTTCTAGTTCCACAGACTATGCCTCTTCCAGATGTCTCGGTTATTTCTCTTTTAACTCAACTCTCCAAGTTTTTGGTTCACCACTGCTGGTATTGAACTCACAACCTTTTGTGTCTAGTCACTGGATCTAACCAACATCTTTATCCACTGAGCCATGTTTGTTGTTAATGTTATTAATTGAACAGTGTTCACTAATATTTCTATCCAATGATATCTCTTTTAATGCTGAATTATCATTGGATATCATTTATTAATTTCAGTAAATGACATTGAATTGAAATTTGGTAAAAACAATCTATGAAGAAATACTTATGCAATGTTAAAATTGTCATGTAAACTTTATTATTATTAATATGAAGATATTTAAAGAAATAAACACCAAACATTTTATTTATACTTTATTCAGAACATGTAGTACAATTTATAAGCACCTTAGGAAAGATATTATCTTCATAAATATTATATATTTACAACCAAAATTATGTTTACTGCAAAAGCCAATATTTTTTGTGCAAGCTTTGGAAGGTCTGAATAATCCTTGATAGTCTATAGAGTCAATCTGTAATTTCAGAGGCTGCTTATTTCCCGTCCTACTAAAAGCGACGTATCATTAGATATTTTTATTTATTTATATATATATATATATATATATATTTTTTTTTTTTTCTCAAGCTATTACCAAAGATATACTCAGAATCATAACGTAAAAAAACTGCATTAAAACTATTAATTATTTAATTGTATAAGTTTTTAATTGCTATCATAAATAACATAAATGAAGGATGTCGTCTGAATTTAAAAAAAAAAAAAAAAATAATCTCTTCCGATGACAAATGAATTTGACCCCCCCCCCTTTTTTTTTTTTTTTTTTGTAATTATAATTTTTAAAGTTAAAATGAATTTCTGAAAGTAAACAAGGCATTCTTGAAAATATATGGTGTATTATATGTACTAACACTGAGTTAGCATGGCACAGGGTGGGTCATCGTTATTTTGCACGCTACCCCTCAATTGTTACACTGCAAGAAAAAAAGTGTGTCTATATATATATATATATATATATATATATATATATATATATATATATATTTTTTAGATGCTGCTGTAAGCTCTATGCTAATAGTTTCTTTTTTTTCACACTTCACGCTTGTTGAATTCTCTTCCAGCTTCTTGCTCTCCTGTCAACTACGATCTTCAAAATTTTAAATGTAATGTCAATCACCTTTTTTTTTTCTTTTTTTTTTTTTTTTTTCCTCGTCTCCTTGAATCTTGTCCTTTTACCATCCTCTCTCTTCTCCATAATTGTTTTCACAATTTCTTCTGCTCTCAGTAACCTCTTGCATTATAGTGGCTTATATCACATTGCTCAGGGTGAAACTATTGAGAAATTGGGGAAATAATCAGCTCAGCCCCAAAAAGTAGCAAGAATATGAAGACATACGAGTAGAATGTTGCAAATATGGCTGGATAACAAAATGAGTAATGGTGATATGTTGAGGTATTGTTGGTGTGTCTGAGGTTAGTTATATTGATGCTTTAACCTTGCACCCACACCTGACTATAGGGTTACCATATAAGGTAGTCATTTTCAGAGGCATTAGGATAGTATCATCGTGGAGGGGGGTGTCTGAATGCAGAAGCCACACTAAATCTCCTCCACAACAGTCTATCAACGACAGCCATTAGCAATTCTGGTATAGTCATACTTGTACATTGTTTGACATTGTCCAACCAGTTTTTACATCGATATCCTCTCCTACATCCACCTTCAATGGTGCATTGCATGATGGTTTGCACAGGATGTCGTGCCTTGTAATGATAGATAGATATCATCATCATCATCATCCCCTTGACTTTTGTAATCATAGGGTGGATCTAAATGCTGAAGCCACACTAGCTCTTTTCTGCGACAGTCTATCAACGGCAGCCATCAGCAATTCTCATACTTGTCCATTGTTTGACATTGTTCAACCAGTTTTTACGTTGATGTCCTCTCTTATGTCTACCGTCAACGGTGCCTTGCATAGGTCGTCTAGCCTTGTAATGTGTCCAAACCACGTCATTTTTCTGTTTGAGAGTGATGAGAAAATGTTCCTGGTACCCCATAAAACTTCCAACCCTTTTCCACACAAACTCATTGGTTTTTATCTTCCCAATAGAAGATGCCAAGGATTTTCCTCATGAATTCTCATACAATAGACACTTACAAAGAAAAAAGGAGATCTCGAGTGTTTCTACTTTGACCAAAGGGGAACGGGAAGTAAAAGAGTGGATGAGGCATTTTTGGAAATCAAATGACGACAAAACCGGAAATAGTGTATCTTGATGCTGGTTTATATTAAGTCATGCTTTGGATTGGAGTCAATGCTGGTCTACCATTGGTGGGAGACCTTATTTTGTATTGCCAGCCACATGTCAGGATTCGTCAATGGGCAAGGAGTTGGTAGAGGAAAGAGCTGACATAGCAGAAGTTGTCCCAAGTATTAGCTACATACCCACCCAGACGAACAGATATAACCCTCAATGAAACATCTATGTGTAATGTGAGAAACATCTTGTGTCCTTGTATCTCAACATGACCTCTGTTTTTCGTCTTGTTACCTTGTGAACATGCAACAGGCCCTTTCCCAGTTTTTGGTACACACTGATGAGATTAAGACTCTGGGAGCAATGTGGGATAATCATTGGTTGGTCGGAGGGTTGTATCACATGTTTACACTATTATTGTTTTGATTTTAGTCAGCTCCAAAAATAAGGGTGGATGTGTGGGGTGGTATAACAGGTATCAGTACAGAAAGTAGAAATGTTGAACCAAGTTCGAATTCCAAATTAGTCTGCTGTGCCACTCACTGTCGCACAAATACTCTAGGGAAAGTAATGGAAATATCTCTTTCAGCTAAGAGTTAAATATCAAAGTAGAGCAGCCTCTCTCATATTGGGTGGTAACCAATCTAAGAGAATGAAAATTCTGAATTTGAAAGTAGCAAAAGTAATGCAGAATCCCTCCACTTTCTGAAGCACATATGTCAATTCTTAAATTATGGCTTTTAAAATTAAAATAATGTTAAAATGAAATCGATGGAAGTTAATTCTGTATGACTACTATTGTAATACACTGGTAAATTGTCAGTTTTGTTTTCTTAATGCTATGGGAGTTTGTTTTTGTCTTTTTGTGTGTATGTGTGCTTTTTGTTGTTTTTTTCTGTTTTTGTGTTCTGTGTTTTGTTTTTTCTTTTTTTGCGTTCTGTGTTTCGGTTTTTTCTGTTTTTGCGTTCTGTGTTTCGTTTTTTTTTTTTTCTGTTTTTGCGTTCTGTGTTTCGTTTTTTTTTCTGTTTTTGCGTTCTGTGTTTTTCTTTTTTTTTCTGTTTTTTGCGTTCTGTGTTTCATTTTTTTTCTTTTGTTTTTATGCGTTCTGTTTTTTTGTTTTTTTTCTGTTTTTGCGTTCTGTGTTTCGTTTTTTTTCTGTTTTTGCATTCTGTGTTTTTTTTTTTTTTCTGTTTTTATGTTCTGTGTTTCGTTTTTTTCTGTTTTTTTTATGTTCTGTGTTTCGTTTTTTTCTGTTTTTATGCGTTCTGTGTTTCGTTTTTTTTTTCTGTTTTTGCGTTCTGTGTTTCGTTTTTTTTTCTGTTTTTGCGTTCTGTGTTTCAGTTTTTCTGTTTTTTGCGTTCTGTGTTTCGTTTTTTTTTTCTGTTTTTTCGTTCTGTGTTTCGTTTTTTTTTCTGTTTTTGCGTTCTGTGTTTCAGTTTTTCTGTTTTTGCGTTCTGTGTTTCGGTTTTTTTCTGTTTTTGCGTTCTGTGTTTCGGTTTTTTTCTGTTTTTGCGTTCTGTGTTTCGGTTTTTTTCTGTTTTTGCGTTCTGTGTTTCGTTTTTTCTGTTTTTGCATTCTGTGTTTCGTTTTTTTCTGTTTTTGCATTCTGTGTTTCGTTTTTTTTTCTGTTTTTGCATTCTGTGTTTCGTTTTTTTTTCTGTTTTTGCGTTCTGTGTTTCGTTTTTTTTCTTTTTATGTTCTGTGTTTTTTTTTTTTTCTGTTTTTTGCTCTCTGTGTTTCGTTTTTTTTTTTTTTTTTGTTCTGTGTTTTTTTTTTTCTGTTTTTATGCTCTGTGTTTCGTTTTTTTTTTGTTTTTATGTTCTGTGTTTCGTTTTTTTCTGTTTTTGCATTCTGTGTTTCGGTTTTTTTTCTGTTTTTGCGTTATGTGTTTCGTTTTTTTCTGTGTTTTTTTTTTCTCTGTTGATTTTTTCCTGTTTTTTGTTTTTTCTGACTTTTTGCTTTTCTGTCTTTTTTGCTTTTTCTTTCTGTTTTTTTCTTTTCATATGTTTTTTTTTTTTTTTTTTAATATTTCTTCCTTCTTTTCAGGACCCAACTGTAAAAACCGGCATGTGCGACGTGTTATATGTCAAAGTTATTTAAATGGTTTCTGTTGTGATGGCCCCAACTGTAAATTTATGCAGTAAGTATTCAATATCAGTTATAAAGTTTGTATTTCTCATTCAGTATTTGTGTGACAAAGAGGCTAGGGGGTAATCTTCCAGATGTTGCTCAAAATTTTCTTATTTGTCAACATATTCTTTGACCAAAAAAAATTTCTTCACAACAACCATGATGAAGAGAATTTAGAATTTGGAATGATGAGTACCTGCAAATCTGAATTATGTTTAATATACCAAAAGACATAGGAAGTCTTTTATCCAGTATTTTCATCTTTCTAGGAACAATAAAACATTAGTTTGGAGCGACTACTTAGATATTTTAGGGATGATTATTTTGCGGAGATGATACAAAATTTTTAATTAAAATTCTAGTTACTTTTTTAAAAAAAATTCTTCTGGCTAATAATGACAGGCTTTTATTAAAGAGGACACAACAAAAAAATTTAAGCACTTCTTAAACTGATGAATTGAAGATGAAATGAAAAATGACATTTGAAGGGCTGAAAATTTGTATTTATCTCAATATGAAAAAATTAGTTTTAATTGTAAAAAATATTTGGGAAGTTGTCTAGGAAAAAAAAACTTTTCTTTTTTTAAAAATCATTTCATTCAAGCTCAGTGGATTTCTTACTAGTACACAGTCGGGTTACAGGGAGCAAAGGTGAGAGAAAAGACTGTGTATAGGGAGGATTGAGGAAAGGATAAAAAATAAATGGGGTTCAAGTGAACAGAAGATGGTAGTTGATGTTGCATTTAAAGTTTTGAAGATTGTAGTTATCAGGGAAGCATGAAAACGGAAGGGAGTTCTGCTGGAATATCCGGCAATATGCAGAAATATCAAAAGACCAGAGATATTAAAATCAAAAGTGGAATCTGCACTGGCCAAATTGGACAGAAACAAAACCACGGGACCAGACAGAATCTGATGATTTTAGTATTGGCAAGATTAGACATAATATACAACAGTGGTGATATATTGGAAGCCCCTAAGTAGATCCATTTTCATAGCACTGCCTAAGAAGCCAAGTACAAATAAATATGAACTCTGTTGAACAATCAGCCTAATAAGCTATATAGCAAAACTTATCCAGATTCTGATGAATAGAACATCCAGCAGAATCAGATCTGAAATTGGCACACAGTGTGGGTTTGTTAAAGACACTGGAACAAGGAATGCAATCTTTATGCTCATAAATGATATCAGAAAGAGCAATACAAATTCAGAAGGAAGTGTAACTGTTTTATATATTTTTTTTTGTTCTTTTAAATGTCTGAACATATTGACATATTTGGGAAGGATGTTAGAATTATCCAGAACCTATACCGGCAACAAACCACGTTATCATACATTATTAATATGACAAAAGACATGACTTACCTCAGAACTTGAAACGAGCGCGAACATGTCTTGCCTGCAAAGTGATGATAAAAAGAAATATGGCCACTATTGAAGACGCAATTTATGCGCACCTATCTCGTCCAAAACGAGACAATATTTGCACACATGCAAATTTTGGCTGTAGCACAAAAAGCAGGGTGCCAGCAGCACGAGACGAGGGAAGTCATTCAGCGGACAGCGTGCAATAGAGTTGGACGTACGGATTGATTTGACAGACAAAGAGGAAGTCGAAGTAGGTGCGGCTGAGCCGGTGTCTGTTTCACTACTGCCCGGTGTAACGACTGAGAAAGGGAGCCAAACAATCCATTTCTTTGAGGTGGCCGAAGAAAAAATAGCTGGCCTGCCGGCAAACACTGCACTACACTTTTTTTTTTTTTTTTTTTTTTTTGCAATTAAGACATTGTCCTGACTTTTTTTTATCAATAAGTTAGGACATTCAGAATGTTTTTATTTAAAGGATTCAAACATCTTGTTTTATGATTTTTTTTTAGTCAAATTTTTTATTTTATCTTTTTTTTTTTTTTTTTATAATACAACACCTCCCATTTTTGCTTTTCCCCTTACGTTAGATAATGTAGGATACACTGATCAGTAGAACACATGCTAAAGCAGCACCAGAAAATGAATGCAGAGAGCACAATTTTTAAATTTTTCTATGTCCTATGTCCCTTCAGAATGTATGTGATCATGGCGCTCCACAACTTCCTGTCATTTGTAGCTCTTAGCAAGCTTTGTCTTTTTGATATAACTCTACTAATCCCTGTTTTGTCAACCATTAATACCATCCTGTGAGATAGCTTACTCGCTGCTTTCCTTTGTTCTTCCTCGCTTTCGGTATGTCCTGTGAGTATCAGATTCCCCAAACCCTCTTTCCTTGTTATGTGCCGGAGAATTTTTTTACTATACTTTTCTGATTCTGTTTCTCTGAGCAGACATCCTACTCATAGTGAATGGACGAGTCTATGTTTAACAATTAGTGTAGAGCAAGTCAGTCATAACAGAAAATTTCTCTGTAAAATTATTCAAGTGGAATTTTAACTAACATTTAATTTTGGTATCTGTCTATATTTCTTAGATGAGGTATTATGTACGCTATTTACATTATTCAGACTATTGTCCTCATCTTTGTTGCCATATTTATTACAACGTTTCAGCCCTTCAGTATCTGTCTATATTTCTGAGATGAGGTATTATGTACACTATTTACATTTTTCGGACTATTGTCCTCATCTTTGTCGCCATATTTATTACGTTTCAGCCCTTCAATATCTATCTATATTTCTGAGATGAGGTATTATGTACACTATTTACATTATTCGGACTATTGTCCTCATCTTTGTCGTCATATTTATTACAACGTTTCGGCCATTGTACACTCTGGCCTTCTTCATGTGGTTGGAATGTCAAACTGAACCCTTTATTTCGCTCACTGGGGTAGATTGTTCTAATTCCATGTGATGTCTTACTCCTAGTGAATGGACGAGTCTGTGTTTAACAATTAGTGTAGAGCAGGTCAGTCATCTATTTACATCACAGAAAATTTCTCTGTAAAATTATTCAAGTGGAATTTTAACAAATGTTTAATTTTGTCTAATTTGAAAAATTGTCAAATCGATGTAGCCATTCAGTTTCTTAAAAAATAAATTTGGGGGATAATTACAGAGAAATATAAATACCTTGTCTAGAAATCTACATTAGTTTGGAAATCATTGAAAGGTAAAAATATTGTTTAACAAACCTAGAAGCCGCCCTTTGGGTGAACTTTAGGCTAGTTCCTGCAAATGGCTTTTTTCACCATCAGCCAAATTAGCTTTTGGGCCATCAGCCTTTTACTTTACGCCTTCCTGGGTATGGCGTCCTGGGTCCCTGGGTTGATAGACTACGCCAATTGGGTATGGCGATGGGCGCCCCTGGGTATGGCGAGAAGGGCCGGGATAGTTAGACAACGAAGGCCCGACATCCGAGGTCCTGGGTATGGCGATAGATAGATACGCCCAAAATCCTGGGTATATGGCGATAGACTACGCCCCTGTCCTGGGTATGGCGATAAACTTAACCCTGGGTTAACATGGCGATAGACTACGCCCGCGTCCTGGGTATGGCGATAAACCCCACGTCCTCAAAATGGCGATAAATTATCTCCTGGGTATGGCGATAGACTACATCCAACAGCAAGGCTTCTGATAATGTTTTTGACATAATAATATCACCAGCTATGTTTTTTGAAAAAATAATATTATCAGCTGTACATTTTTTAAAAAACATAAATAGCAGGATATGACAACACAACTGAAAAATTCAAACCCGCTATCATTCATTAATCTGAGTCACTTGCAGCGGCAGGATAAAATTTTTGTTAAGTTAAAGTTTGGGATATTTACAGAGAAATATAAACACCTTGTAAGATAGAAGAATTTGATGTATTTTGCTAAGTTTTGGTGAGGTGAATATCTCTATGCCTAAGAAATCCTTCAGAATTCTGTTTGGTTATATCAAGGGGATGGGTAGGTTGACCAGGAACTTTTAAGCACCCCACTTGATATATGTCCATTGACTAATGATGAAAAGCAAGCCTTTATTTGGCACAGCAAATTTATTTTTCAGTAATCTCCTTTTGTGAATGCACTTCATTTGGTTTGGTTTATTTGATGGCTCATCAACTCTTTATGGGTCATTTAATGCTGAAATTTTATTTTCTTGTGAGCTTTGGTCATTTTTTTTTCCTCCTCCAGTTATGTATTGATAGTATTTTTTACTATGAAAATGTATTGCTGGTAATTTTTTCTGATGTATTTTCATATTTTGACCCCAATTTGGGTGGGGGCACTATTTGCCCATAGCTGGGACCCTAACAGGTGCTACCACCCTGATTTAGGATGGACCTGAGAACAATAGCAATTAAGCAGTAGTTCAATGCTCCTCAAAATCTCACAGTCAAAGGTATTTCTGCTGGGTGTGGTTTATTGCTATACCTAGGACAATCGATGTATTTTGGTCAAGGATTCTGTATTCATTAAATAAATTACTGTAATCCCATGATTATAAGATACAGGTTTTTTTCATCCAAAATTCTGTTTAAAAGTCTGTGTCTTATATTTTAGTTTAGAACTCAGTCCCATTTTTTTTTCCAGGACTCAAAAAATCAGTTCGAATTTGTTTACCAAGAAATAAATATTTATCTAATAGTGTATTGCAACAAAGAGAGATAAATCTTTCATAATGTCTCTTTAAGTCCTGGAGAGTTCATACTTTTTCTGGATTTCATTGAGTCTAGATGCAACACTGTGGCTGGCTGTGCTTAGGCTTTAGTAATGAGGTCACCTCTTTAATTGAACTAGAATTGGTTAAATGACACTATTAATAAATGAAGTGAACCCCTATTGTCTATTTAAGTTGGTACATAGCAGATTGAACGAAGATCAAATGGGCTATTTTTTTTTTTTTTTTTTTTTTTTTTTTTTTTAATATGACCTTCCAAGTGGTCTAGTAATTAAGATTCCACCCTCTCACCACATCGGCCAGGCTTCCATTTGCCTCTCTGAGGGGGTGTGATCACCATGTCAAGTCCAAGTATCACATGCATCCCCCCCCCCAAAAAAGAAGTACTGTAGGATCATTTTACATATTGATTAAGATATAGAATTGATCCCCCATTTTATTTCTCCATTATAATTTCTTGTTTAGTTATCAAATTCTTATTAGGGATGGATACATTTCTCCATATAAATAAATAAAAATTATGGTCCAGAAATATTTTCTGGCTTTAAATAACCTGGGAAAGGGTTGATAAACTGAAAAAAGGAAAAATACAAATCGGTCTTAATTGCTTTATTTAAAATTAAAGATTTATTCATTTGTTTACCATCACCGAAGTTCCAGCCACTTTTACATATTGGAAAATTGTTATATTCCATGCTAAGGGAATAAATACTTAACACCAGGTGGATAATAGAAGAAAGATTTATTGTACACAACCAGTACAATATGAAATACGGTACAGTTATCCACACAGGTCAATCTAGTAGTGAGTGCCACTAATTGGAAGGTCAGACGTGCTTGCGTCGTCTCTCACTCTTCCTCAAATCTCTCTTGGACAGTTGACTTTATAGGTACTTACTACCTATAGTGTAATCATTCATGGGGGTGACTAGTTATTCCATTACATCACCTCTCCCTGAGCTGAAATTTTCCTCTAGAAAAATTTAGCTTCTAATATTTTCTTTTTCTCAGGTTTGGATTTAAACGCACTGTTGGTTTTCTTTTTCTTATACTCTTTCAAGGCGAATAACATCTTGATCCTACGGGCAAATCTGGTGTAGGAGATGTATCCATGTGTTCTGGTATGTTAGTGGGTGGTGTTATTTCAAACATGTCGTACAGGACATCCATCAGAGTTTCTTCATCATCCTGTTGAACAATTTCAGAGTATCTTGGTTTTAACTAGTTTACGTGCCTTTTGCATACACGTCTTTTTCCTTTCACCATATAGACTTCCAATTCTATTTGAAATAATTCAATCCCCCAAAAAATATTTTCCACCTCGGTAGTTTCTTTTTCCTCATCTGACCAGTCTTGACATCTATTTGTTCCAGTTTTCATGTCCTTTACTTCATGTTAATCACAAAATAGCCGTTTCCATGCAGGAAACTTTGGACATTCATAGAATGTACAGTTAACTTTACTACTGGTTGAAATTTGCAAAGTCTTTGCTCTATCCACATTGTGGACTATATTTCTCTCTTTAACCATTACTTTTTTTTTCTTTTTTCTTTTTTCGTGTGTGTGTTTTAGTCCGAAGTTCGAACTTCCAACCAGTGATCCAGCCACTCAGGCAAAGAAAGCCTCCATTGTTTGTCATTATTGTGCTGAAATTGGCCACAAAGCTGCTAATTGCCAAAAAATACCACCGGAAATGAAAATGGAACAGCAGCAACAGGTAAGGGCATTTTTTTTTTTTTTTTTTTTTTTTTTTAATAAAATGAATGAATGAATAAATATGTATTTCAGATCATAGCCAGCCAGGTGGAGCGAGATTTTTCCCCTGCCTGAAACTAAAGATTTTTCAGTCACAAAATTAAAACTTACTACACTAACTACTTGTCATGAGTTCTCTGATGCATTGACCTTGTCTAAATGTAATATATATATATATGTGTGTGTGTGTGTGTGTGTGTGTTTTTCATTAAATAATATAGACAAGTTTTGTCTATTTTAAGTAAGTTCCTTTCATATTGTCTGATAAGCTTAATGACATTATCATTGAAAGACGAAAGGAAAACACCATTTTGATACATGTTTAAATCCAATCTATGTAATTATATATAGTCATCCACAGACAGTTTTGCCGTATCATAGCTCATCAGTGTGGCTAGACATGCAATTGCTTCAAGCTGGGATTGAAACCCAAACGATTTGACATCAGTTGGAGTCTCTAGCCCTTACGCTATCAGCGCACACAGCAGAGAAAGGGAATTTTCAACACATTATATATGAGATATAAGCATTCCCAGCTACCAGAGTGCTTAATTCATAGCAAAGAGCTTTTAGCGTTAATTAGCAGCAGCCGACAAATTTCCTTTCTTCCAAAGTGCTCAACCTACAGGTGTGTGTGTGTGTTGGGGAGTAAGGGGCATCATCAGCCCACAACACGATTATAATATCAGAAGCAAAATCATATACCAGATACAATAAAATAAGCATTGGCAAAATCAATAAAATGCTTTAGTTTACATTTCAGATAACTGATTGTTTATTTTAAAGAACATATATGTATACAGAAAAAAGTATGTTTTATCTGTCAGAACATGTTTTATCAAGGAATTCTCCAGGATTTCTGCCTCCTTCAGCTGTTGAAAATGAAGCGGGGGAGATAATTTTTGATTTCTGTTTAAATTGGTGGTAAGATGCTTGTTCTGATGCATCATGGGAGTATTCTATATTTGTGACTTGGTATTGGTCACAGCACCAAATGTGACGTTCTAACCTTTTGCTGATCGGATGGGAATCTGGTTAGATTCGGTATCAGCCTTGTCATTCCCAGCTCGCCTCCAATGTCTGGTTACCAAAGTAACTGTTTTGACTTCTAGTCTAACCTACCCACGTTGTGATTTGATCTTAGGTAGACTAAATCAATCAGTCGCCGGGCCGTAATGCAAGCTGAGTCCGGCCAAGGGTAACACCACACAAGTATATGTAAAAGAAAATAAAATAATAACTCGAAAAGTTCAAATGTGTTAAAAAAAGGATAACAATACTTTATATCTGGTTGCTGAATACAGGACTGCGTCTTCTTCCCAACCCGCTATATGGATTTGTGACACTATGTGTTTGTTAGGCGAGTCTTAACATCTTAACTTGTTTTTTTCTTTAAGAAACTGGTTCTTGGTGTATCTTCAGGCGATATTCGTAAAACTTGTTTTGGTGGTGTGAGTCTAAGTCGTTCTTCAAAAATAATTTGTTCTTGATTAGAAGTTGAGGTCGATAATGCGCGAATCTTAGTCAGCTTCTGCGAGGTGGCCCAACTCAATCCAACTCGACTGCGAACTTAACTCGAACTGCCAACTCAACTGGAACTGCTTTTCACTCACTGCGACTCAGCTTATATGGACGCTGACCAAAACCGGGGTGGGCTTGTCGGGGTTTGAGGTTCCTTGATAATTCTAAATCCACAATCCACTTCTTTGTTTTCGGTCAGGAAAATTTATTATTTTCCATTTTTGGAAGTCTTTCGTCTTTCCACCTTCTTCTGTTCTCATATTGGTATCTCACCATACCCTCAGAGGGTGTCAACAGGTTTCCCCGCTCTCTCAGTGGCATCTCACACCTATCTCCTCAATGGGTGCCAACAGGCCTCCCCTCCTACTTCACATGATTACCTCCGCCTAATGCTCACGCCACCATTCAGCCAATGGGCGCTCAGCGGCGTGGGTGTGGCTAGACTGGCCTCGGTTTAAAAAATCTTGCTCAAAGAAAAAAATTATCTTCCTTTTCCTTTCTCTTTTCCTTCTTCTCTTTTTCTTCTCGACGACAACCCAATACGACTCGTAGTGTGGTCTCTTAATCTCAATTTTATCTGGATGTCACCTGGAATTCATCAATCAGATTTTCGCCAGCATCAAGTGGGTGGTTTAACTGGACGTATTTGCATTCTGTCGCTAATTAACTGTTCCGATAAAATAGTTTTGCTATCATAGCCAGCCCTGACAATAAACAGATACTCCACTCAATGATATTCTGCATATAGACAAAGGCTTAATTTTTCCTTCATGGCGGTCCAGCGGACATTTTTGTTTTTCGATCAGCACATGACCTAATTAATTTTTATCTCTTTAGAATTCTGTGGGAGGTCGCTTGTCCAACTTGAAATGTTTACCATTGCCATGGGCAGATTGGATATATCTTATTTGCCGCCCCGTAACATAAATCAGATTAAATCCGAAACATCCACAACCTTACTTTTCTCGCTAATGAGAATAAAACTTTTAGCATTTTTCTTTGTCAAAAAGAATAACATCGCTTAGTATCCTTTTCGTGATGGCTTCTTATCACCTAAATTTAATTCTCGCCTTTCTTTTTTCTTCTTTCTTTTTAACAACCTAAATAGTGTCACATATAATATATAAAGAAAGAACAGTGAGATATAATCCGGTGTTATTGATATTTTTATTTTTACAAAATAGTGGTCAATGTAAATTTACAGAGCATTAATATTATAAATTAACTGATTTAAAATATGTTTTTTTTGCTACATAGCAATAACTATGTTTCAAAAATGGAAGCTAAAAGCTTCGAATTTAATTTTGTAATTAAATTAAAAACATTAGTTCCATTTCATCCTCATGCGAATTTTGGAGTAACTTATTTTTTAAATTTACTGAGTTTTAAAGGCACGGAAAAATTCATAATTCACTATTTCCAAGGATACAGAGAAACCCAATTATTCAGACAAGGGGTGGTAGCATGTTCATTTTTATTAACTTTTGTTGTATCAGTTACTAGTTACGTTCGAGAAAGGGGTCATTTTTAGGTAGGATAGGGATGTATATATAGTCATCCACGGACAGATTCATCAGTGTGGCTAGACATTCGGTTGCCTATAGCTAGGATCGAAACCCGACTGAATTGGCATCAGTCGGGGATTCTACCACTAAGCTGTTGGCGCATGGCAGGGATGAAGGTGAATTTAAGTGTATTTATTTTTAGATAAACACACAGTGACTGAGAGAACTCAATTCGATTTACTGAAGAGTCTTTCATTTTTAGCCATAATAGTCACTGTTTACAAACCCACACTTCCTCCCCAGAGAGCTCAACTGAATCTCTTTGCCCACTTACTCATATATATATATATATATATATATATATATGAGAGAGAGACTGATAAATAATAGCAATACATTGTCATCTATTAGATTGAGTTATAATTTTCATTTTTGTTTATCAAGTTTATTCTTCAAAATATAAAGAACTATTCTATTTTATTCAGTTACATATTTACCATTATTTCAAATGACTTGTTGCTGTTCATCAGTCAGTTCTTCAAGATTAGAAAACTGAGATTGAGAAAAACAAAGTACATTTTATTCAATTATATATCTGCCATCATTTCCAGAGTTGTCACTTATCAGACAGCTCCTTGGTATCTTTTGAATAAAATTCCACAGATTTTTGTGTGATAAAGTTTTCAGCAAACACCTGAATCTGGTTTTTATCAGAAAAACTTTTCCCCTGTCAAAGTATTTTGAAAAAAAAGGTAATAATCGGTGCAAGATCAAAGATACAAAACCGTCATTGCCCAAGCTTTCTACCAACTGGCTAATGATTCTCATTCTCGGTGTTCACCGAATCCTGAGAAAAGCTGTACGGCTTTCAATGGGAAATTCCAAGAATGACTGTTAATATAGACCAGCACCCGGATATACCTTATTTCCGACTTTGTTACCACTTGATCTCAAAAAAAAAAAAAAATGCAAGAACAACAAACTAAAACACATTTCAACCAACAATTGGAAAAACGGCTCCTGGGTTTCTGAAAAATGAGAAAAGATGAAGTAACGCTAACCAGACTATGCATCAGACATACTTACATCACCCACTTGTACCTGCTTCAAAACAAAGAAGCTCCAATGTGCACTACATGTCAGGAACCATACTCAGTGAAACATAAACTTATAAATTGTACCAATGTCAACCAAATCCAAATGAAGTACTAACTTAAGACTATTTTGAAATATTAAACCACGTAATAAACTGAATTTCTTAAAAGACATTAGACCCTACACCAGAATTTAAATATATACCAACCTAAAACAATAACCCACCAGGAGCCATAAAAATGCGACCTACCAGAATGCACAAATATATATATATATATAGATAAAAATACCCAAATAAATTAAGAAAGATACTAATACTGTTTTGGCGTTAATGAACCATAGTGTGGTCGATATGTCAGTCAAAAAAAAAAATAAAACTCCATTAAATCTTTTCATTTGTACCCACTTCTTGGAATAATATTTATGATTGTTATTGCAATATTTATTTAGTTTTTAAGCTCAAATATTTAATGATGTGATAGAATTTTTGTAGATATTTTTTTTTGTTCTACAATTCGCCATGAGCTTGCTCACTCATTGACTTAAGAATTAAGAGTCCTCAGAATATTAAAATAGGAAAATCATGAAAGTTTTCACTGGTTAAAACTAATAAATCCCAAGTTCCAGAAACTTTTTCTTTCAGTTAATTCACCTGAAATGTTTTTCTTTAAGAAATAATCAAGAAAGTTCTTTATTTTTAATTTCAGGCTTTTGACAAAATGAGAAACCAACAGGTACGTTCTGTGATTTGTTTTCTTTGTGGATTTTCTGTTGTGAGATTTCATTGTCATCAGATGAAGGGTTTCTGTTTAGGGTCTGGGATCATTGTTTGTAGCTTGAATTTACTGATGTTTTTTTTTGCTATATTTTCTATTTTATTTCAAAATTTCAGATTGCTCAAATCCAGGTTGACCAATCCATATCAGCTGATGGTCGACGACCTCTTGATCAGGTTACATGCTTCAAGGTAAGAACTATTGTTTTGCTAAGCCAAAGCAGGTGTCATCCAACTCTGCCGCCAAGCATGTCACCCTCTCCAAAACCAACTTGTTAGTGAGTACAGGCCACTGACTATTTTCTGGAAATATTTCTTTGATAATTTATTGCTAAGCTATGCATTGAACAATTCTGACTCTATACACTCAACATTATCATCATTATTCTATTACGTTTTCTTCATTAATTATTGCTTTTCATCCCAACACCCTGACTCTATACAATCTTCCATCATGTATAGAATATAGGGAATAATAAAGAATAAGGTGATAATATAAAGTTGATAATGTTGTACATAACAACAACCAAATGACACCACTAAAAATAGCATTTATTGCATGAATAATGTAAATGCATTGTTAATGATTTTACTATAGGAATACATTGAAAATGAGGAAGAAAGGGATTGTCAGTGGTCAGGAATGAATTTTTCATTACAGATAGAATAGGCTATTATATGTATAATGTAAATGCATTGTTAATGATTTTACTATAGGAATGCATTGAAAATGAAAGAAAGGGTCAGTGGTCAGGAATGAAATTCAAGCAACAGATAGAATATGGCTATTATATGTATAATGTAAATTCATTTGATTTTACTATAGGAATGCATTGAAAATGAGGGAGAAAGGGATTGTCAGTGGTCAGGAATGAAAGCAAGCATTACTGATAGAATAGGGCTATTATATGTATAATGGAAATGCATTTTTTGATTTTTACTATAGGAATGCATTGAAAATGAGGGAGAAAATCTTTTGTCAGTGGTCAGGAAATGAAAGCAAGCATTATGATAGAATAGGGCTATTATATGTATAATAATGGAAATGCATTGCTAATGATTTTACTATAGGAATGCATTGAAAATGAGGGAGAAAGGGATTGTCAGTGGTCAGGAATGAATGCAAGCATTACTGATAGAATAGGGATTATATGTATAATGGAAATGCATTGCTAATGATTTTACTATAGAATTTGAAAATGAGGGAGAAAGGGATTGTCAGTGGTCAGGAATGAAAGCAAGCATTACTGATAGAATAGGGCTATTATATGTATAATGTAAATGCATTGCAATGATTTTACTATAGGAATGCATTGAAAATGAGGGAAAATTGTCAGTGGTCAGGAATGAATGCAAGCATTACTGATAGAATAGGGCTATTATATGTATAATGGAAATGCATTGCTAATGATTTTACTATAGGATGCATTGAAAATGAGGGAGAAAGGGATTTCAGTGGTCACTGAATGCAAGCATTACTGATAGAATAGGGCTAATATATGTATAATGGAAATGCATTGCTAATGATTTTACTATAGGAATGCATTGAAAAAACTGGAGGGAGAAAGGGATTTGTCAGTGGTCAGGAATGAAAGCAAGCATTACTGATAGAATAAAATATGTATAATGTAAATGCATTGCTAATGATTTTGTTTATAGGAATGCATTGAAAATGAGGGAGAAAGGGATTGTCAGTGGTCAGGAATGAATGCAAGCATTACTGATAAATAGGGACTATTATATGTTTAATGGAAATGCATTGCTAATGATTTTTACTATAGGAATGCATTGAAAATGAGGGAGAAAGGGATTGTCAGTGGTCAAAAATGAAAGCAAGTTTTACTGATAGAATAGGGCTATTATATGTATAATGTAAATGCATTGCAATGATTTTACTATAGGAATGCATTGAAAATGAAAAAGGGATTGTCAGTGGTCAGGAATGAATGCAAGCATTACTGATAGAATAGGGCTATTATATGTATAATGGAAATGCATTTAATGATTTTACTATAGGAATGCATTGAAAATGAGGGAGAAAGGGATTGTCAGTGGTCAGGAATGAATGCAAGCATTACTGATAGAATAATGCTATTATATGTATAATGGAAATGCATTGGATTTTACTATAGGAATGCATTGAAAATGAGGGAGAAAGGGATTGTCAGTGGTCAGGAAATGAATGGATTACTGATAGAATAGGGCTATTATATGTATAATTGCATTGCTAATGATTTTTACTATAGGAATGCATTGAAAATGAGGAAGAAAGGGATTGTTTTGGTCAGGAATGAATGCAAGCATTACTGATAGAATAGGTTTTATAATGGAAATGCATTGCTAATGATTTTACTATAGGAATGCATTGAAAATGAGGGAGAAAGGGATTGTCAGTGGTCAGGAATGAATGCAAATTTTTACTGATAGAATAGGGCTATTATATGTATAATGGAAATGCATTGCTAATGATTTTACTATAGGAATGCATTGAAAATGAGGGAGAAAGGGATTGTCAGTGGTCAGGAATGAATGCAAGCATTACTGATAGAATAGGGCTATTATATGTATAATGGAAATGCATTGCTAATGATTTTACTATAGGAATGCATTGAAAATGAGGAAGAAAGGGATTGTCAGTGGTCAGGAATGAATGCAAGCATTACTGATAGAATAGGGCTATTATATGTATAATGGAAATGCATTGCTAATGATTTTACTATAGGAATGCATTGAAAATGAAAGGGATTGTCAGTGGTCAGGAATGAATGCAAGCATTACTGATAGAATAGGGCTATTATATGTATAATGGAAATGCATTGCTAATGATTTTACTATAGGAATGCATTGAAAATGAAAGAAAGGGATTGTCAGTGGTCAGGAATGAATGCAAGCATTACTGATAGAATAGGGCTATTATATGTATAATGGAAATGCATTGCTAATGATTTTACTATAGGAATGCATTGAAAATGAGGAAGGGAAAGGATTGTCAGTGGTCAGGAATGAATGCAAGCATTACTGATAGAATAGGGCTATTATATATATATAATGTAAAATGCATTGCCAATGATTTTACTATAAGAATGCATTTAAAATCAGGAAGAAAGGGATTGTCAGTGGTCAGGAACGAATGCAAGCATTACTGATAGAATAGGGCTATTATATGTATAATGGAAATGCATTGCTAATGATTTTACTATAGGAATGCATTGAAAATGAGGAAGAAAGGGATTGTCAGTGGTCAGGAATGAATGCAAGCATTACTGATAGAATAGGGCTATTATATGTATAATGGAAATGCATTGGCCATAGGAATGCATTGAAAATGAGGAAGAAAGGGATTGTCAGTGGTCAGGAATGAATGCAAGCATTACTGATAGAATAGGGCTAATTATATGTATAATGTAAATGCATTGCTAATGATTTTACTATAGGAATGCATTGAAAATGAGGAAGAAAAGGGATTGTCAGTGGTCAGGAATGAATGCAAGCATTACTGATAGAATAGGGCTATTATATGTATAATGGAAATGCATTGCTAATGATTTTACTATAGGAATGCATTGAAAATGAGGAAGAAAGGGATTGTCAGTGGTCAGGAATGAATGCAAGCATTACTGATAGAATAGGGCTATTATATGTATAATGGAAATGCATTGCTAATGATTTTACTATAGGAATGCATTGAAAATGAGGGAAAAAGGATTGTCAGTGGTCAGGAATGAATGCAAGCATTACTGATAGAATAGGGCTATTATATGTATAATGTAAATGCATTGCTAATGATTTTACTATAGGAATGCATTGAAAATGAGGAAGAAAGGGATTGTCAGTGGTCAGGAATGAATGCAAGCATTACTGATAGAATAGGGCTATTATATGTATAATGGAAATGCATTGCTAATGATTTTTACTATAGGAATGCATTGAAAATGAGGGAAGAAAGGGATTGTCAGTGGTCAGGAATGAATGCAAGCATTACTGATAGAATAATTATATGTATAATGGAAATGCATTGCTAATGATTTTACTATAGGAATGCATTGAAAATGAGGAAAAGGATTGTCAGTGGTCAGGAATGAATGCAAGCATTACTGATAGAATAGGGCTATTATATGTATAATGGAAATGCATTGCTAATGATTTTACTATAGGAATGCATTGAAAATGAGGGAAAAAGGGATTGTCAGTGGTCAGGAATGAATGCAAGCATTACTGATAGAATAGGGCTATTATATGTATAATGGAAATGCATTGCTAATGATTTTACTATAGGAATGCATTGAAAATGAGGAAGAAAGGGATTGTCAGTGGTCAGGAATGAATGCAA